TAGTGTTATATGGGTGTTTGTGCATGACAATGGTCTGCAAAGGCTAACACCCCTGTGTTCCTTCTAGAGCAGGGATGGGCAAATGGCCCCGACTTCCTCTTTTTGGGGCCCTCAGATCAATTTAGAAACAACGTCATTAATTAAAAAAAAAATATATATATTTTTTTTTTTACTTGTAGTATTGATACCGTCCACTAGACTCCTAGTTACGTCACGAGCTGCGTACATAATTTCGTTCGGCAGCCAAATACCGCCAAAGAATCTGTGACGCGTTTGAGTGTATTGTGTTTGTTTCCCGGGGAAACACTCACAAGAAACACCGGCTGTTGTTATGCCTGCTGTGACGTTAAGTTACCGCGTGTAATTATGCCTTTACAAGCTTCAAAGTTGTATTTATCATCTGAATTTGGCAGAACGAGTTTAATATTCTAAAAGACAAGACTTTGTTTATTTGAAATCAGATGAAAACAAACTGTCACAGACCCTGCCATGTTATCTATGATTACTATGCACTTTTCATTCATAATTTCAGCGGGAGGGAGGGGGAGCGGCGCTGAGGAACAGCAGAGTGCGGGTTGACAGATGCCTGTGTTGACATTCCCCTTATTGTGCATCAGCAGAGGCTACAAGTGTCTTAGGTTCAAGTAAGACAACGGGGGGTTACGTATTGTAACCCTAGTTCTATAAGCACAGGCGGAGCCCTATACTGGACTTCATGGGTAGGGTACTACTCTCATCAATGATACGCGAGCGTTCACACACTGAAGTTGTATAAACGTAGCCGGCCAATCAGGGCGAGCCTACCTGAATGCGTGCGCATATAAGGCAGCTACACCTCCTGACTGTCATCCTACACCCTCTTCAGCGAGCGGCATAGGAAAGACAGGGCCCCTAGGTAGAGGGCTCTGCCTGTGCTTATAGAAATAGGGTTACAATACGCAACCCCCCGTTCTATCTCACACAGGCTCCGCCCTCTACTGTATTTTACGTCATGCGATCGGCATTTTTAAAGAGCACCAATCGATCAGCAGAGAGTGAGTATCGGCCGATATCGATCGGCGGCCGATCGATCGGAGCATCCCTAATAGTAACATCACTATGTAACACACGCACTTCTATTGGCTAGTGCTCCAACACATTGTACATGATAGGCTAAGGGGCGGGAAACTCTAAGTAGTTGACCTCTCAACAGAGCCGGCCAGCTAACCAATCAGAGCAGACTGGGCTCTGGTTTCACACAGAGGGTGAAATGAGGTGCTGCAGCACAGGCAGAATGAGAAAAATAAAGAGCTTTTTGAACATTAAACCATGAACACATGTCACAGTAGAGACACAAAATACAAAAATGAACCTGAAAATCTTTACATTATGCCCTCTTTAACTATATAATGTAAGACGACAGCACAATGTAACCTTAAAAAGAAGAAACCAAGATATTCAGTATCAAAAATCAGAAGATGCTCTTTTACAGTTTACGACAGGATGGATTAAGAGCACCCATGTTATTATGTAACTGTATGGGAATCCTGATGACGTAATCCTGTTACATGTCATCCATTATTCCCAAACCTGTACACACATACACACACTACTACCACAAAGCAGAGATCAACAGAGCTAGGGTTTCTTTGTTTAGCTGTCTTGAAAAACCTGAAACTCTAACCAGAGATAATACACTGAACAAAAATATAAATGCAACACTTTTGTTTTTGCTCCCATTTTTCATGATGAAAAAAATTCTATATACACAAAATAACCATTTATCTCAAATATTGTTCACAAATCTGAAAAAAATCTGTGATAGTGAGCACTTCTCCTTTGCCGAGATAATCCATCCCACCTCACAGGTGTGGCATATCAAGATGGTGATTAGACAGCATGATTATTGCACAGGTGTGCCTTAGGCTGGCCACAATAAAAGGCGACTCTAAAATGTTCAGTTTTATCACACAGCACTAGTGTTGCACGGTGTACCGATACTTGAAAGGTACCGCGATACCCTGCCCTTAAAAACGGTACGATTCCTCCGTTTCATTAGTATCGGTACTTTAAGAATGACGGGGAAAAGTACTCCGGTGAGAAAGCGCTGTTTTAATAAGAGCCGTGTGTGTTCAGCGCTCTGTTTCCACTCCCTGCCCTGCAGCCGTGCCTGCTGTCCCTCCCCTTTCAAGCACGCTCTAAGTGCCTCCCCTCTCTCGTGCACGCGGCCACGCGCTAGCTGCCAGAGCATGTGAGAAAAGGAGAAGCATGGCTGCAAGTGGGAGTGCAGCTGCCGCTGCGCCTCGGCTTGTTGACAAAAAAGACGCCAGAAGCGACATTTGGAAGTATTTGAGCGATATCTCTGACAGTGAGGGCAAGCCTACGGACACCACGAGGCCTGTCTGTGAGACATGTTTTAGATCCCTGCAAACCAAGGGAGCCAACACATCAAACTTGGCTAAGCACCTCGCCAACCGGAATCCAGAGCTGTTTAAAGAATTTAAAGACAGACAGGTTAGCGAATGTGATAGATAACATAATTACATCATGCCCAAGCCCATGCCCTCAAATCTAAGTCAAACAAGTGTAATTTATTTTGTGACAAACGAACGTTTTCGTAGTTTGACGAGGCAATTAATGGCAATGATAACTGTCTAATATGGCTATCTTTTTAGCTAACTTACCAATGTGGCTAACATCTGCAATATACATTTTGTCAATAATTATTTATATTACTGTACATGTTAATAAAATATAAAAAAAATTATATTTTATAAAACAAAAAAGTTTTAGATGATGCTTAATTTTATTTAATACGAATTCTTGTCATTTATTTTGTGTATTGTTCTCATTGTTTAAAAGTGTGTGTTATGGTTATGGTGTGAAATAAAGCACAATAATTACATTTAAGACTGTTTCCCTTTTTTTAAGAAAAGTATCGAAAAAGAATCGGAATCGCAATTCTTGACTTGGTATCGGTATCGAAACCAAAATGTTGGTATCGTGACTACACAGCACAATGCCACAGATTTCGCAAGTTTTGAGGGAGCGTGCAATTGGCATGCTGACAGCAGGAATGTCCACCAGAGCTGTTGCCCGTGAATTTAATGTTCATTTCTCTACCATAAGCCGTCTCCAAAGGCGTTTCAGAGAATTTGGCAGTACATTCAACCGGCCTCACAACCGCAGACCACGTGTAACCACACCAGCCCAGGACCTCCACATCCAGCATGTTCACCTCCAAGATCGTCTGAGACCAGCCACTCGGACAGCTGCTGCAACAATCGGTTTGCATAACCAAAGAATTTCTGCACAAACTGTCAGAAACCGTCTCAGGGAAGCTCATCTGCATGCTTGTCGTCCTCATCGGGGTCTCGACCTGATTCCGGTTCGTCGTCGTAACCGACTTGAGTTGGCAAATGCTCACATTCGATGGCGTCTGGCACGTTGGAGAGGTGTTCTCTTCACGGATGAATCCCGGTTTTCACTGTTCAGGGCAGATGGCAGACAGCGTGTGTGGCGTCGTGTGGGTGAGCGGTTTTCTGATGTCATTGTTGTGAATCGAGTGGCCCATGGTGGTGGTGGGGTTATGGTATGGGCAGGCGTATGTTATGGACGACGAACACAGGTGCATTTTATTGATGGCATTGTGAATGCACAGAGATACCGTGACGAGATCCTTAGGCCCATTGTTGTGCCATTCATCCACGACCATCACCTCATGTTGCAGCATGATAATGCACGGCCCCATGTTGCAAGGATCTGTACACAATTCCTGGAGGCTGAAAACATCCCAGTTCTTGCATGGCCAGCATACTCACCGGACATGTCACCCATTGAGCATGTTTGGGATGCTCTGGATCGGCGTATACGAGTGGACCAACATTCCACAGGCCACAATCAACAACCTGATCAACTCTATGCGAAGGAGATATGTTGCACTGCGAGAGGCAAATGGTGGTCACATCAGATACCGACTGGTTTTCGGACCCCCCCAGACCCCCCCAATAAAGCAAAACTGCACGTTTCAGAGTGGCCTTTTATTGTGGCCAGCCTAAGGCACACCTGTGCAATAATCATGCTGTCTAATCAGCATCTTGATATGCCACACCTGTGAGGTGGGATGGATTATCTCGGCAAAGGAGAAGTGCTCACTATCACACATTTTTTCAGATTTGTGAACAATATTTGAGAGAAATGGTTATTTTGTGTATATAGAAAATGTTTTAGATCTCTGAGTTCATCTCATGAAAAATGGGAGCAAAAACAAAAGTGTTGCATTTATATTTTTGTTCAGTGTAGATACCACGAAGATGGTTATAAACTGTCTTTGTGAACCCAGGCTGTCTTCCTTACAAGATAGGTATACAAAAAAGACATTGCAAAATGACTACTCACTAATACCAAAACACCTTATGATACGTCATCTTTTGAATAAGAGGGGGCCATCACAGAGTGTCGTTCATATTACTGCAGCAAAGATCCTTAACAAAATGTTGGGTACATTTGTTGTACTTGCAGCAGTCAAGAAACTGCGTGTGATATTGGGCGACTCTGTAGAAGTGATCCAGATATTAGACCGTACCCTGATGAATTTACACCAAACTATTCGCAAGGAGGAAATATGTTGTTGTAATTTAGGCAACTGACCCTAAACCTTAACGACCCGTCCACACAGCGGCGTGCGTTGAAAGCTTCACCATTCACTTTGAATGGGGTGATGTCACTTTTCGCCGAACTGCATTGTGGGAAGCGACGCGGAGCGTTGCTGGCATGGCTCGCTGCAAAAGTTGAGCAATGTTCAACTTTTGACGCCTCGGCAGAAGCGTCAGCCAATCGAATCATATGCCAGTACAAGCTCTAGCCAATCAAACCGCTGCTTGTGTGTCAAGGGCGGGAGATTAATGTGATTGGTTGTTGGTGGAGTTTCAGACACGCCCGCCGGCAAGCTTCAACGCACGCCGCCGTGTGGACGGGCCGTAAGAGAACATACAGACAACACCACTGGATGTGTGTTTCACCTTGAGTTGGGGCAGATCTGGGAACAGGGGGTGAGCTCCTTCAGTCAGAGCCCTTGACACAGCACTCAGCACACGAGGAAGGTCGTTTCCAAAGGAACGGAAAACAATGGCGAATTCCTGTGCCTCCTGCACCAGGTCTGTGAGCAGCTGGAAGAAGGAGGGCAGGATCCAGTGGTACAGGTGCCCTCCCTCACCCGTTACAGACAGCTCTTTGTCTCCCTGCAGGAAACACAGGAAGAAAGCGGTCAGAGGCACATTCCACCATAAGGGAACAAGATTCAATATTAACAGACTTCATTTCCCATGCACAATGGCTACAGCGTAGTTTTGGCAATGAAAATATACATCCCACGCTCCTCTAACAATGCAACATTTAATATCATAGAGACATAAAAATAAAGCAAATACAAATCGAAATATGAATGTAAAGTAAATGCAGAAATAAGTAAACTACAGTATAAACATGTGAAATAAAATGAGATAAAAAAAACCCACAATTTTACATTTAATATCACAGTGGAGAAAATGAAATAAATAACCAAACTGTAAATAAATGTTTGTGTTCTAACCATAAGTAAATTAAGAACTGGTTGGAAGAAATAGAAAAAGGCATTTATACAGAACCTCCATGAGAGAAGCCACTTTTACAACTTGGGGTTTCATTTGCATGTCCAACAGCTCATGGCAACTGGTAAAGCTGCAGAACACATTCTAATGTTACTATGATAGAAAATACCTCCTTAAGCTTAACACTACACTAGAAACTCCACGAGTGTATTATGAAAATAAACATGAATATAAACATGAATTAAGATTGTTAATGAGTAAAGAAGCTGTGATGCCTTTAGTACAATTTTCCTAAGGGGATTTCTTCATATTGTATTGTTGTAGTAGGTCATAAAATATCAGACAGATACTGTCTAGAATTAATCTGCAGATTAGTTCAAAATGAGACAAACTTTTCCAATGGATGTCATTTTTGTTAGCAATAACATGAAGCTTGCCTTGGTGCCCTCGGGCCAGCGCAGCAGATTCAGATGCTCCTCCAGAATCCCTCGGAAACGTCGGCCCACATTGGAGGAGAAACCTGCCGTCCGTCCAAAATGAGAGTGGTAGCTAACAGCACCATGGCAGGGGGGGTGCAGGGAGGGGGAGTCACTCAGCCACTCCCACTTCCCTGCAGAGAGGAGAGGAGGACAATGTCTTTGCGAGTGGTGGGAACATAAAACATCACGGAATGAGTGGGGGATGCTGGTGCACACTAGCAAGTTCTGAAGCACTCAATGAAATGTAATATATTTGGTTATGTACGGAATATAAATGCAGTAGTGTAGCCATGGACATGAGGGTAAATAATATTAATGATTTCATTTCTCTGTTGGCTCTGATGATGTACACATCCCACTTGTTTCATTAAATGATTATCACATCAGGCAGCATAGGTGTTTGAATAACAAGAGATGCAGCAAAAGTTATTTTACACAAGGGAATTAAAACAGACATCAATTAACATAAGAGGATATATTGCCATAATTAATGGGAAATACAAATAAATAGATTAAAATATACTGAATTGAATGCAAACCATAATAAGAAAAAAAAAGTGGGAAATAAAACAAAAATTGAATGCAATACATAAGAAACATTTGGAAAAGAAAGAGTACAATATACCAAATAGAATACATAACATAAAAGGAATGAAAGCCATTGAATATAGAATCAACCCTGCTAACAAACCTCACTTATTAAAACGTGTATTAAATGTTTACTCCCGTATTAGCATCGTGAGCCTGTCACAACACATGAATTGAGAATAGTTATACTATGTAAGGCCTGTCATTCGGCATACAGTAGGCCAATGTGTTTCCTTGCATTGAACTCAATCATTGTTATGTGTATTGTTTGACAGCTTGTCGTTACTTATATTGCCAGGAAAAGGTAAGGCGACAGGAGGAAGAGGACTACTTTTTTCCTTTGGACTCTTAAAATTAATTCGGCGTATTAATCTGGAACAGAGGCAGGAACAATAACTTGGCTGACTGGGCAGAAACACATCCTTGTGTGATCCTAGCCCTAGTGTGATAGAGAAAAGTATTCATTCTCAGTTTACCTTTGCTCATCCTTCCCCAGGTGACAGTTGAGAGGAAATGCTCCAGGGCAGCTACCGTCCCTTGAGCTATCACAGAGTCCGACACCAGTATGGTGTTGTTCAGGTCTACATGAAGGACTAACTTTTTCCTCCGCTCAGGATTAGAGCACCGTAGCCCCCGCGGGACTGTTACCGTGGGGTCACCTGTCTCGCACACAGACTCCAGGACATCTCTGCTCTGTGTCCCGTCGTGTTCTTCAGCTTCACGGCCGTTTCTCTCACCAAACTCCGCCATAGGTAGGATACAACTAACAACGGTAGTAGAATTTAAAATATTTCAACTAAAACTTGCTACTTAACCGGCTGAGCTGTGTGACTCAGCGGCACTTCCTCCATGATGCCGGCGTCTGCTTCTTCTTCTTCTACGCCTGTAATGCTGCAAAGAAGAAACAGCGCCATCTCCCGGTGAGCTGAAATATGTAGCGATGTTCATGTGAGGTTTTTTTTGTGGCGAACCATAGTATCACCTTTTTATTACATTCAAAACTTTTAATGACATACTATAATTAGACTTTTTATGGTAACGTGTTATGACATTACTATAACTTTTTGTGACATTTTGATTGGCTACTATATTTTCCCTTTTTATGATACATTTTATCAAGGTCTGCGCTAACTTTTTTTAAAGTACTAATTAATGACTTTTTTTAATGGCACTCCTGTAGTAGCAGTGGGATTTCTCACACCTTCACAGATGTCACTTTTTTATTGTTAATTCATTCTGTGTAGTTGGTTCGAAGGGTAAATGTGATAGACATATTCAGATTATTCATAAAGCAATGTTTATCTAAACAAACAGGCTATTACTGTCTCATTTTGAATTTCTAAATGTTTTAATATTTTAGCCCACTATAGCAAATATATTTTAAAGTCAGGTTTTTGCTAGTGAATATCACATATTCCTAGAATGTTTGTGTTCTAAAGTTCGAAGAACCATCATATACTGGCTGAAATTATTCATTGTTTTTAAATCTTGTTTAATTTTATTTTCTCTCTTGACTATCAGTGGAATAGTACTTTTTTTTAAGTGAATTTGTATTCATACAACATAACTATACATGGAAAAAACTGGCTTCATGTCCCAAACTTATGCTATGATGAGAAGTTATCATATCCAACACACACAAAAAAAGAACAAACCCAATAATGTTAGCAGTTCTCAAAATTGTTTTTATTTATATTAACCATTTATATGTATCCACAGCAGCATTCTTAACGATCCCCACTTTATATACGCAGTCGATTACAAAGGAGAGGAGGGTTGAGACTCACGATAAACTGAAATGAAAAAAATCTCTGAGGAACTGATGGAGGGGGGGATATTAAACAGGGGCGGGGGGTTACAACCTGTTTGAACATGCAGTCATGCACCTTTCAGATTATGCTGAAGTCTTAGACAATTGCATCCACAGGAACGAAAATATCTAAATAAGTACAAAAAAAGAAGACTACGCTACAGCAAAATAAAGTTCATAAAGCGACAAAAGATAGAAGCATGTGCTCCGTGTTAAAAAAAAATGAATAAAGTAGCAGGTCAGCACATGGTTTTCCTTTAAATACACTGCTACTACTCCCATTAATTTAGCCTGCCACAAACGACCTTGAAAGAAAAATGTTTTTACACACCTTACAAGAATATCTACTCCCCGGATGTACCCTCATATTGGACCGTGGCTTTAGCCGGGGATTACCAGGTCTGCTCCGGGTTAACAGAGAGGCTTTTAACTTAAAACCAGACCACAAGGTGCATTGCCGTGGAAGCCTGGAGGCCGCCCCACTCGGGTTGAATTTATAACGAGCTGCTATCTGTAGCTCAAAAATCACAGAAGTGTGTGTCACTATATACACCAATTTAATATAATAACATGGTTTGTTATCAATGGATATTAAGGATAGTTCATATGAGTATCTTTCACAGAGGAATCCTCAGATAGTGCACCGTTAGTGAGACACGGGTTCCTTCACCATTAGTCCACCTCCTCCATGTTGCTGTAGGATGGAGCTCCGCACTCTCCGTGTGCGAAGAGGTCCGAGGGAACCTCCGGGTTCAGCGTGGTCGGCCCCTCAGGATCCAGGTCTGCCCCGAATAGTGACTGGCTAGCGGCCTGTAAAATAAACCAGCGTTTAAGATAAATGTGCTGTATAGTTTCTGGGAGTGTATGTAGGTGGTGATTTAAATAACATGCATGGAGACTATAAAAAGATGCAGATTTTATTTCCATAAAAGGAGAACAGTGATTTATATATATTAGGAAGCAGCATTAAGATGGAGGTATCTAAAAACATTATTATTTGAAATAAGAAATGTCAACAACGCAGTGATTCCAAGCGTACAGAGAGACCTTACATCATTCAAGTTATGATTATTCTTTGCAATTATACATTTTATGGCAGACTACATACACATATAGGGCTGACATTCATTTTCTCATTGACTAGTCTGACAGCTATTATCTAGATTAGTCGAACATTTCAAATAATGATAAGAAACAATTGAAAGTAATAAAAAAAATCCTAAAATCTTTTGTTTTGTATGACTCCCAAAATATATTCACTTCAATATGAAAAAGAGGAAAAAGTCAATATGTGAGGCTGAAAACAGCATTTTCTGAAGTTTTGAATGAAAGAAATAAGAATAATTCAAATTGTTCATTGTTTTTCCGTCAAATGTATAGTGGAATAATAGTCAGAGCTCTACACAGAAACCAGAGATTCATCTTTCAGTCAGTTCCATTTAAATCAAACCAAAGCCTCCAAAAATCTAATAAATAAAAGCATTGAAATGACTAAAAGCAGAGCAGCAAGAAAACTGCTATTTAACGGACTTCGACATCCATCCAGTCATCCTGCTGCCGTTTATGTTGGAGACTTCATACAGATCATCACACACACACACACACACACACACACACACACACACACAACACAAACACACACACACACACACCACACACACACACACACACACACACACACACACACACACACACACACACACACACACACACACCACACACACAACCACACACACACACACACACACACACACACACCACACACACACACACACACACACACACACACACACACACACACACACACACACACACACACACACACACACACACACACACACACACACACACACACACACACACACACACACACACACACACACACACACACACACACACACACACACACACACACACACCAGGAGGAGCTCAAGTTCAAAAAAGATTGGAACACAAATGTATTACTCTTCAAGTAAATTAACACAATATTTATGTCTTTGAGCTCCAAATCTGTTCATAATCAAAGTCTTTCCACAGAGTGACACATTGAAATACATTCAGAGGTGGACGGTATTTCTGATCACACATTTCTCATTTAACTTGCATTGTCAGTCAATTTCTCATCTCGTTATATACAAAAAAAAACAGAGCAACACATAGTTGACTACATTTCATCCTGAGAACTTAAAATACTCACTATATGGCTTTGAAATGTATAAATACATAAAGGACCAACTAATACAAGCATTTTAATAAAAAGAAAAAAGTCATGAAAAAAGAAAACAGAAGATATTGCAAAACAATTACTATAACAATTGAAGCACTTTAAAAAAGCAGCAGCAACTGGTCACACATTGCTTCCCTTTGCTTCATGATTAGACATTTACATGAAAACACTGCTGCCGTGCCTCTTCTCACACTGCAGGAAGTAGCGATCTCTTCTCTTTAGAGTGTAGTTCAATACTAGCCTTCCATAGTGGCTGCAACTTTGTCATTGCTCAGCTGATAAGCACTGGATACATTACTGTACAACTATGGTTTCCTCTAACTAGCTCTAACCCAGCTGTCACTGCCTTTCTGGGTGTTGGATCTATTTGCCAAAGATTTAAAACAGCTCCATGATTAAATAATTAAGGCTGTCATCGTCTGAGAACTATTTATAAAATAATGTGCGTTAAACTTGGCAAATGTGCCAAAAAGCACACAAACTGAAAGCAAGAGTCAATGAACTGCATCATGGCAATGTAGTTAATGTGCACTCAATGTGCCAGTGCCGTGTTGATAGCATTATTCTACTGCAACAAGTAACCGCCTGGTGTGCTGTTGTCCAATCAGTGTTGAAGGTACATTTAGGCGATTTGAACAACACATTCCTCAGGGAATGCTATATTGACCAAAAGAAGCCAGCACTCTGTTTTCAGCTGCAAAATCAGCTGTCCTTTCCATCCCGCGTTGCCATTTAGCATCAACACTGATTGGACATTTATATCAAATCTGAGGAGTTTTCTGTTGAAGCACAACGGTTTATTATTCTAAAGACGATAGTTTTGCTCTTCCCTGGCTTTAATGTGTCACGAAGCGCTTAAATATGGCTTAACAATTAATACAATCTTATCATTTTGTCTCTCCACGGTTACATTAAGATGATCAACTACGCTACTGACCTTTAAAATGCTCTGCTTACAACAAATTCTGCTGCTTATCAAATCAAGCGCTTCTTGAACCTGGCAACCTGGCCTCTGACAAAAAGTGTTCCCTAAAATCAATAAATAATTATCACCATTATAGTGCAGCCCTGTGCTTTAGTATCATTTAAAAGGTTGAGCCAGGTGATGTCATACATACACTTCAGGATGTAGGTAAACGAGCTGAAGCCCATGAATGCATTACTCAGTACTTCCACAAGAGGATTGGTTAAGTATTTAAACTCCCCTGAAGTTTCCCATCTAACCTGACATACTTCTGAAAGCACCGACTAAACCCCCGCTCAGGCCCAGTTGGCTCTGTACAGCAGAGGGTAGACCAGATTAAGGAACAGAGCGAACAGCGCTGCCAGCGTTCCCACAACAAAGTATCGCACACAGTCATCGTCAGGATAGTCCGACATCCTCTGCCTGCGGGGCCGCCGCACCGCCCCATCGCTTCTGTCCGCCTCCTCCTCCTCCTCCTCTTCGTTCCTCTGCGTTTGTCGCCTCCGCAGCGGAGAATGGAACAGTCCGCGGGGGCCTTCGTCAAGCCCCTCCTCTTCTTCCTCCAGTTCCCGCCATAATAGAGAGGCCTGCGATTGGCGGAAACCGGTGTCAGCTTCTCGGAAAAGGCGTTGACTAACAAATACTTTGATTACATTTAGAAATATTTAGCTGGTGAAACCCATAGGGACAATTTCATAGGCTTGTTTGGCAGACATCAGATGGTTAAATGTTTCATTAGGATTGTCTGAAGTGGGGTTGTATGAGTTGCTTATCCAGTGTATTATCTACAGTAGATGCTGTTTGGAGAAACAAAAGCAGTACCAGCAGGAAGCTAAGCAATGCACTGCTAAGGACGTGTGCTGTACAATATATTTAGAATATTGT